CGCCCACTTCGCTGCTGTTTGAGATGGGGGTTCTGCTTTCGGCCTTGTCGACATCGTTTTCTTTTTCTTCTTTGCCTTTCTAGTTCGCATATCTGCACTCACGATCAGCGCCATAATACCCCAAATTAAGCCCGCCCTTTGCCTTTGTAGAAACGGATTGAGGTCTGTAAAGTCGGCCGAGGTGCGACGGAGAGACACAGCGCGCAGAGAAGCGAGAGTACATGGGAGAACACCGCATACAACAGGGCGCAGACACATGGCCGTTGCATAGCGAACCATAAGAGGGTCACTCAAAACCACTAATTGAGAGCATTGGCAAGACCTTTGCGCCCATGTCGCACAGTTCCCAAGTCACTCACAGGTAACCTTCACAGACAGCTCTACACTACCCATCGAAAGGAATACTCTCGCGGTCCAGGGGGCTGTCTTTAAAAGCCCACCTAAGAACATCCTTCTCTTACCCCTGGACGAGAAGTTCAAATAGTTTTTATATTTAATGCCTTTCAAAATTATAGCAGTCTCTCCAACCGAACACAAAATCAAAATATATGTATTTCATGGGCAATCGAGCCAGATAACAAATAGCTAGAACTGTTAAAAATCAAAGTGATAAGGAAAATTAAGTATTAATATTTGGCAACAACAAACGTCACATTTTGACGACAGTACTTAACTTTGTACTGCAAATAACCAATCTAGTACTAACACTATACTTTATCCTCTTAACTATATAAATCACCCTTATAGAATAATCTCTTAGAATAACATCAACAACATCAGAAACAAGAGATTCACCAACAACAAATAAATGACCATAATCTATCGACTATACAAGGCTGATAATTCTACAGTTTTCTATAAATCATTATATTCTTATTGAATTCTAAACAACTCCAAGCCTTCATAAGAACTCAACTCACTACCAAATTGAGAGACGAATCGCGCGCCTCGTCTAAAGGCAGTTCCAGAACGGAATATCGGGGGATTATCACAAACAAACCGAGTTATGCTTAAATCTCTCCATTTCTTCAGAGAACTTAATCAATGAAAGAATAACGTTCAAGGCAGCTCACTAGGTAGACAACCATTAAGTGAATCACAATTTACTAAATGCTAACTTTTACAAGTCAAAAAACTTCTACAACTACTACCCTGACGAGATAAGAAAGAATCCAAAGCAGAAACAACTCGACGCTAGGATTGCCTATCTATCTGCGACAGCGCGAAATCTACAAGCACATCAGCTGACCCTTCTGCATTCGGCAACGCAGAAGCCTGAAAAAGAGGTTTTGAAATAATCCTCGAGGTTGCTCCTTCAGAAAAAAAGAACTGTTCTTACTGTTACCTACAGTTCTCATGTTTCGGTCATACTCAACAAATCGTTGATGGCTTATGCACACTTTAGAGGAAGCCAGAAGGGTAGCCGACAGGAGGCCCGTCGGGCAGCAAGAAGGCAGAGTCAGCGGACGAGTTGCAGCGCGTGATGTGCGATGTAGGACGTACAATGGTACATTCTATTTAACTTGACGCGAAATCACTACAGTACGCGCTGCGACTCGTCCGCTGACTCTGCCTTGTTGCCGCGCGATCTTCTTCCTGTTGGGTACTCCAGCCAGAATAGCATGGGCCTGGCGCGGGGACGAGCTCGCACGGTGTGAACTCCGCTCGGGTTCAAGCAAAAGAGTTACAGTGGTAGGTGTGAGTGCCAGCAAGCACGCCCATCGACGCTTCTGGAACAGCAGACAAGCAGAGGACACCGTACCCTAGCCGACGTGTTCAGCCGTCGTTTCGACGCCGCTGAGTCTGGACACTGCTGTGGCCCTCTTGCGACGTAGCCCGTCCTCATCGTCTGTCCCACATTGGCGACTAACGAGGGAAGGTCATCAGGCCGGTCCGGCCATTTGCAATGAGTCGTATACCGTTGAAGTCGCCTCGAGGCGCTGAGCTCAGAACTGCCTTCCTTATCTGCTAAACGATTCTTCTGAACGTAGTTATAAAGCAAGGAAGCGCAGTGGCAGTGCCCCGAACTCGCGAGCAAGAGGTCGTGGGAACGGCTCCTCGGAGAGTCTGTTTCTTTTGTGCTTCGTGAAGATGTAGCCAGAAAGCTTCTAACTTCTTAATTTATCAACTTTGCCGTTAGTTCCCTGTACGAAAAAATTTCGAGCAGTTCCTTGCAGGTTTGGGCAGTAGTCGTCCATGTATGAACATGGTGCCCGTAATGCAAGTGTCAGGCTTTTTCGCGGCAAACAGGCGTGATATTCGTGTTCAGGAGATCAAACTACCCTTAAGTTTCCTACCGAATCTGAGATTTTGACCCAACCCTAAAAAAATGAGGTGAGTCAACCATCATATCATCAACCTATCGTTGAACTCTTTGCATGGAAATTGCTCTTCCAACCAAGATTTTGAAAAGAGAAACGTTCAACGGCTCACATTCCGCATAACGGAAATGATTTACATGACTCTGCATCAAAATTCAGGGAAGGTGCTTTTCCAGTTAGTTTTCGATTCATACCTTCTCTCGTTTGACTGTATGTTGACTGCCCTTTCTCGAGTGTAGGTCAAAATCTCAGATTCAGCTGGAAACTTGTAACCAGGGAAAATTCGGTCTCCTGAACACGAATATCATACTCGTTACCGCAAAAAGCCAGAATGGAGACTTGTCAAGTGGTCGTAATGAGGCGTCGTTTTCAGTCCAATCGGCAAATATTAGAGTTACAAATAGCCGTCTAACCTGCGCACGAGTGTCCTTGACTCCTTAGCACAGGCAGGTAACGAGGCGTCCACAATCAGAGGAGATACTCGTCGCTAAACGCCTGTACTGGGCCATTGTTTCAAGAAAGGCACAACAACGAACACCCGAGAGACCCGATCATGAGCTCTCGAGCCATACAAGCCTGGAGCGCCCCCGTCAAACCAATCAATCGTGCTCTTTCACCCGGCTTGGCTTATAGTGGCGCTCCAAATGGATAGGCGGTTCGATCATACTGCGTTTAAGTACAGTGTTGAGGGGAAAACTTCCGTAACTCCGTTCAGAGCACCGTTTAGCAGATAAGAAAAGCGGTTTCTAGCTTATCGTCTCAAGACGAATGCATAGGTATACACCTCATTGCAAATGGCCGGACCGGCCTGGTGACCTTTCCTCGTAAGCAGTTTTTTTGGGTGTTCCCAAAAATTGCGTGCTAATGCTGAAACGCTTCCATACGGGGTACATACCAAATCAATGAGAACACTATGCGGAAACTGCTGAAACATCATTTGTCTCGTACAAATGCTTAATGGCTGCAAACCAAGCAAAAATCTCCCCCCGACCCGAAAAGGTGAAAACTTCGACGCCAGCGTCGGAAATTCACTAATTCTTTCCACTGTACGAATGCCACAATGAGGGTTGAACACAAATCTCTTTTTTGCCAATTGTTGTATCATTGAGCTAGCTAATAGCATACAAAAAGGCAGCTTTCTACATCAAGAAAGAACAACCTTATCACTGAAGAAGCAATTCCAAGCAACCCTTCTGTAAAACTTTCACTGTGAAAGATGTTCAAAGAACGTGGCCATTACAAGTTTGACAACGTATTCCGGGTTAATATAGCACCGCTCAAAATTTGGAATATGCGCAAAGGAATAAAATTCAAGGGGTGTCGCCCGGCATCGGGCGACATTGTCGCCAATGTGTTAACCTGGCCCTCTTTGAGTGCGAACAAGTCCCCCCCCACCCCCACCCCTGCCCTCGGTTGATTGCTCCCCCATTTCCTTCTGATGATCCCATGCAAAACCGGAAATGGCGAGAATTTGTGTCGAGCAGCCACGAAATGCAATTGAACATTGACCGCCGGGAGAGAGATGGGTCGGGAGTGTTACCACGTCTACTCTCCCATAAGAGATGCGCGGCTGAGCTATATTGCGTGAATTTACAATTCAAATTCCGTTTCTAGATTTCTTCACTCGTTCGTTGACAGCTTTTATTTCGTAGTTAAATTAAATGAATCTAAGGAGACTACGTGCGATTTTCAAGAACGTCTCCATTAAAGTGCTTTTCATATACTCCTAGGCATATCGTAGGTAAGTACATATACAGTACCCGTGCAGCAAATTTTTTCTCCGTAGAGTGCAAAGACGAAGACAATTCGCCTACAGACATTTCGTATGCTTGATGAGTCAACTCGTGGCAACACTAGGGGCTAACAAAGCTTTTGGGAGTACCCCATCCCTTGGCGAAGGACAGGCACAGTACTGGACCCGAAGAACTCTAGCGTCGACTTCCGCGACGCTACTGAAGCCGAGGTGTACCTCGTCTTATTATGGTTCTCTAGCATGAGCCAGGCCGTCGCGCTCGTTGCGACATCCTTGTGAAGTGACAGAAATTACGCGCAAAAGAGTTTCAACGAAATTCATGACCAAGTTACATAATAGTATTATCTTGCAGAGATAACAAATCTACGAACGTGGTATCAAAGACCAGCACACCAACAAAGAAACGCAACTTACTATCGCGCAGTTGGTACGCTATAGTGAGAGAGTGGTCTGCCCTTACTAGCGGGGCCGGACTGACGGTAAGAGCATTAGGAGAGTAGCTAGGTGAAATGTCGTGCGCCCAACATAACGAGCTGGATGCCGAGACGCATAAAAATTCGAGTGAGTGTGGTCTACGGCGTGGTCTATTCGAGATGGTACTGCGTATTGACGTAGTGTGACAGTACATGAATATGCTCTGCGCCGACACACGTCCTCCTCGCGTCCGGCCCGCATGAACTTTCGTCGGCCATGAGGATGTTTAGTTCGGGATAATTGCTGAGGCAGCGAGCAGCGGTGGACTGAGAGAGGGGGCAGCATAAGAGGAAACGACCAAAATCACAGGTCCAGTCGCGAGGCCTGAAAACAGTCAAACGAAACTTTAGTAGCATTTATGACGACAATTGCGCCAAAGTCTATCACAAAAAGCGATCGAAAAAAAGGAAATGAATCTATAATAAAAAAGCTCAAGAAGGGAGGACATACACAGCTTCAAGATCTGCAGCCACCGGCTTTCCGATCATATCAGCAGAGGCGATGAAGTCCAATAGGTCATCGACCAACTGGAAAGCGATCCCAAGATGCCGTCCATACTCGGATGCCCGCCATGAAATTCAGCATTGCCCTCTAATAAGTACATGTTTTACTGTACAGTCACATAATAAAAACAATCTCAGAAACATGTTACCATGATTAATTAAAAATCAGAAATATCGCGAATTCACCTGCAAGAAGAGCCACACTCTTGCAACTATTCGCAAAAAGGCTAGCAGTCTTCTTGAATGTCTTCTGCAGGTACTGTTGCATCCTGTCTTCATTCGCAGCCGTTTTCTCAGTCATCTGCATAAATTCACCCTGAAAAGAGGCCTCATTTCAGGAGGATTTATGCACCACGTTATAACATCCTATTTCACTCCTCTTTCATTCGCGACATGCACCAATTACTCCGCACTATGGTATTCTGCCACTCTTAGCTCTACTTGAGCAGTCTCTATGGCAAATCATAAAAAGGATGATTATGAGATACTAGCTCCAGTAGACTCGCCTATTGAAGTATGACCTAGCTGGACCAAGGGCTGTTGCATGCCCAGGGGTTGGTAGCCAGGTTAGCTTAACTGATTTCGACTCATCAGCTAATCAATTGTTTCAACTAATGGGGAGGGTCTCAAGGCAAGCCGCACGTCCTTCGAAACGGCATCCCTGCGCAAAATTTAGTGTATGACGCATGTATGGACCACAAAACCATGTTTCGTTTTCGCTGAACGGTTTTAGTAGTACCAAAAAAGTAGTGAATGTTACTCTCAATGGTTCGATCCCCGCGGCGACTAAATTTTGCAATTCAAGGTTGGCGGCTACTTTTGGCTTCAAAATGGTCCTGACGATGAATTTGACCTCTGATTTTGATATTTAGCACGATTTGGCACCGAACCGTAGGCGCCAACCCAAA